AGTCCTTCCCGGGACAAGGAAGAGGAAGAGGAGGAGAGGCCGGGGACGAGCCAGCCTCCGGCTCCAGGCCGGTCCGCTGCCAGGTGGGAGTCGCGGAGGAGGTCGCGGGGGGGCCCTGCGCGTACTCGCTAGACGAAGGCTCCCGGCCTGACCGCCGGCAGCTGGCCGCTCTTGGGTCAGGCTGCAGTTCGCCACTTTCTGTTCTTCTTCCTCCATTGCTAAAGTTTCCTCCTCCTTGCCCCGTTCCCGTGCCGCACCACTCGCCTCTCCTCTACAGGTTAAATCGGGCAGAAGTTCTTGCCCGGCGGCCGGACGCATATCCCCAGATCCCCGCTTGGCTCCGCGCTCTTCCTTTCCCACCTTCCCCTGCCGGAACGTGATTGGGTTCGGTTCCACACACGCTCTACTCTCCAAGTTCTGTGGCAAAAGCGATTGCCCCGGCGTCCCGCCTGTAGTAATGGGAAACACTTGTGAGCCGAGCGGAGCCGTCGGCCAGGGGAATTGAGGGCGCGATCCCAGCACCACTGGTGTGGGAGGAGATCGGGGCAAAAGTGGAAAAGGTAAAGCTTTGGGGCGTCACCCCCTCAGCTAAGATGGTATTTTGCCATCTTATTTAAATTTTCTCAAAATGATTTTTAAAAGGAATTGTGATAATGCGTTCCCAAGACTTTCACCAAAAGGGACTGGCCATGTAAACGACGCCACATTTCTTTACTTCTCATCTCTCCTAGAAACAGCTGCCTCAGGTTCCCAAACAGAGTCTGGAAATCAAGTTTCCAGCTGTCTTGGTTTCAGTAATCAAAGGGTACCCTTTCTCTGTAATATTTTTATCTTTCCTTTACTTTCCTATGTTCAAAAATCAAAAAGTTTTAGACACGCCTCATTTAAATGCGTATTTCTGAGTCTTTTCATCCCCCCGAAGAAAGAGGGGTTAAGTAAAATGCAGCTCGCTTTCTTAAACTAATGAGAGGCTTACACTATCTCCTCCCGAGATTGCACTAGAATGACCATTGTCATTGGAAGGACGCACTCCAGAAAGCCATGTTTACTTCGGACTCAATATTTCCTGGTGGGCTTAAAAAAAAAAATGGATAGGAAACAGAACTGAGAGTGAGCCAGTTCCATTAGTATTCAGATTTTGTGATGTGATTTTGGTGGTTTTTGTGTTCCTCAGTTTACCCGCTTGTGAAACATTTTCATTATGACCGTCTGTTAATCACATGCCACATATTTCCAAGAAAGCTCCTACGATAATTGAGTGGTTAATCTCCTGGGACGTTTCAGCTATTATTGCTCTGACTGTTGAGAATTTAAAATTCAAAGTTACACAGTAGTTAAAAATAGTTTTGAAGTCTGACAGATCTCATCCAGGGTGTCAGCTAGTTCTGCTGGTGTGGGCAGGCAGCCTGTGGTGCCTGCCACCACCGTAGCAACACTAACAGTCTTGGATAATATGAACGCAGCCTGCAAGGAAATCCCAAGTAGGCTCAGCAAAGTTGGGGACTTGAAAGTCAGTGTTAGAAAGGAGTAAGCAGGTCAGTTTCAGGGTCATGTCAGTAATGGCCTGAAATCCTACTGGTCTTTCCGCCCCATTTTGGCTTTTTAAGGCACTTCTCAATTCTAATTTCTTTACTGACTGGAGCTGACCACTCCAGCAGCTAGTTCCTTGTTCACCTACCACTTCTCTATTCTCATCATCTCCAGATTGGCAAAACTGTGGCTTTTTAACAATGAAGGTTTTAATTGTGCTTATATCAATGCTAATTTTGTTCTCATCTTTTTTGGAACTTGCCAGGTGTTAGGGGGATAGCAGATGACCCCTTGTGTGGGTGTTTTACTGTTTTAAATGAGCTTACATCTTTCATTTCAAGGGCATAAACAAACACAAAGCCTTTACTGAAAATTTAATAAAACAAATGGAACCTCTTTGTAGTAATGAATGTCCCAGTAACACAACACCCTGATGTTAACAAGATTGGAAACAGAATTGCAATTTGTCACTATGATCTTATTTCAAAATGAAAGGGTGTTTTGGCTATTTCTCTTTGTGGGCATAAAAACTTGTGTCATTATGAGAGCTGGATATACCTTCTGTAGAGGTGATTTTAGATGAAGAGGAGTCAGTGCAACAGACAAACGGGGTTGGTGTGGTAGGGACATAAAGAGTAAGAAAAAGGGTTCTTTGTTTAAGAGCTATAAGAAGCTGGGAAGACCACTTGAAAACATTAATATGAATCCCTATCATATGTCTGGCACTTTACAAAGTACTTTCAATAATATTATTAAACATGACCTTTGACCAAACCTATATTATCAATATCCCCATCTTACTGTAAAAAACAGGGTTAAGGAAACTTACTGAAAGTTATGTAACTACTTTTCAGTCAGTGAACATGGTATCAGATGTGCCTATAATTCTGAACATGTAATAAAGGTTATTGTCTGCATCCTGGCTTTTTGATGTACTTGAAAGGAAATGCACTCTCTAAAACCTGTGTTTTGAAGTCTCCTTTTTGCATCCCCAGTGTTGATTTGCATGAATTTTTTTATGTAACATGTACAAATATAAAACAAGACATAAGTTCCTTAAGAACAGAATTCCTTAACAGTTTCTTAAGTACAAAATTAAAAAATAAACTAAAACATAATTATGAGACCCATAAAAGTAGAATTTACAACATCCTGAAACTGTTTTTTTGGTTACTCACAAAATGCATACTGGGACAAACACCAGGTCTTTGGGGAGTTGCCATGCCTTGATACAGCTCTTCCAATATTTTACTGTTTTGAACCATAGGAAAATCTTTGTTTTTATGGTGTGCTGTGAGTTATATGGGCTTCAGTTGGTGAGAACACTTCATTATGTTTTCTTTGTTGCTGTTCTGATCTCATTAATCTTTCACAATTAAAGAAGGCCTATTAGCATCAACACTATTGTATACCCCAACTTAGGCGTGGGCACTCAAATTGCTTGATAGTACTCATATCAGGTGGTTGACCATTTCCAGGAAATGCTTATATTAATTTATCTTAGATGATATGAAAAGGAAAACTGCAATTGAAGTTTTCATAGAAAACTCCAAAACTCCCAGAGTTCTGTGGATCCTAGTTTGAGAATCAGTGCTGCAGTGTTAAGCCCAGTTTATAAGTATACAAGGAACGCACTCATTAAAAGTGATAGGGGAGACCAGGAAGTGCTTCCTGGTAGGGATGATTTTAACTGGATCTTCAAGGAATTGGTGATGGTTCTATACAAAGAGAACTTAGGAAGAGAGAGAAGAGGGAACAGGTATTCCAGACTGAGCAAAGGCCTGCAAGGGGTTTGTGATCTGTTAGGGGCTATATACATTAATTGGACAGAGTGAAAGGAGCAGTAAGAAGGTTAGGTTGGAACTGGGTCATAAAGGTCTCTAGATAAAGTGTTTGGCTCTAGATTTAAGGCTCAGAGAATTTTTGCAAAAGCCTGTTATACAGATATTGCAAACTTGGAGGAATTCCTGCTTTATTTTATCTGCTTTGAGAAAATGATTGCTCAACTTTGTTTCTTGGCTGTGTCATGCATGATGGACCTGTTTAAAATGAGTTCTGTGTAATGTTTGTAACTGAAGAGAGATGGTAAGGTGAGAACAGTATTTATCAAGGGCTGACTGTGCACTTACTCCTGGGCTGGGTACTTTTACCTGCAACATATCATGTAAATCTCACACTCAGCATGAAAGGTTGGTCCACTTATTACCATCTGACAATTAAAGAAACTTGAGTTTGAGAGAGCACTCAGTGATGGATGCTATGGGCATTTTGAATGGAACAGTTCTTTGAACTGGACTCTTTTGTCCTTTGTAAGATGTTTGGTATCCATGATTCCACACACTAATTGCCAGTAGCATCCTCTGGTCATTGGGATAACTGAAAACTCCTCCACCCAGGTGGGTGGGAGGGAGAGTGGTACCACTCCGAGTGGAGAGTGATTTACCCTAAATCATGAGAGGAGGTGAGAGGTGACGTTTGAACTTAGGTCTCTCTAATGGACTCTAAAGTTCTGGTTCCTTTTTTGACACCATCCTGTCCACCACCCTTCTGAACTCTGCTCCTTCAAAACATATTTGAATATGTGAGGCAATTGGATTGTTCCTTACTTTGTTCTAGAATGGGTGACACTGTGGCCCATTTCAGCTATATTCCTTTTGGCTGTTACTTTGACCAAATACAGTGTCATTGATGAAAAGAAGGTGAAACAGGATTACTAGGCCCAAGGTCAGGGCCTGTGTATTCATCTTTGTGTCCCCTTCATCTTTGTGAACCCATCTCTTGGGTTCAATAAGGTGTCTACCAGGTGGCTAATTTGAGAATTCTATTTTTTGCTGTGAACATTCTTTGGAAATGGACTCAATTGTATGTTCTGAATGTGTTAAAGTTGCAAGGATACCACAAATTGACCTGCAGTAAGTTTATGTAATCAGAACTTCTAGCTTTATTGATAGTTATAACATTTTTAAGTTTTTTTCCTCATCACAGTGGAAAATATGTAAAAAGGGTAATAGCAAGTTTTGTAAAGTAAGAGAAAATATTCCCTCAAGACAAAATATTTTCTATCCAAAGTTCTGATGAAATATACCAAAACCCAGATATAAGAAATATTAGTTACCAATTATTAAACAAAATGGTAGCAACAAACCGTAGGTGGTTGTAAAATTAAGGAAAATAATCCAGGCTATATGCTGAAAAGAGGGAATCTGTGTGAAGTAAAAGTTAAGAAGGTAATACTTTGAGTCTGTTCAATCCATAAGTTAAAGTGGCTGCTTTGTGTCCCACATGGTGCAAAGCAATGTGAATATAAAAATAAATGAATGACCAAATATGCCTTCATAGAATTCCCAGATTAATGGAGGAGATAAAAGTGTACATCTCTGTTCTTAATATGAACTCAGTATAAATCAAACACGTCTTTGGAGTGTGTGACTTGTTTCATTCAGAGCATACTTAATGTTTCACGAATGTCATACATTGTATGAGAACTTTAATTGGGCTTTCAAAATACATTCTCACATTATTAACTTTTCTCCAAGCATGGTTTGGTGAGCTTCCTTTGCCAAGCCAGCATAGTGAGGGAAACATGATAGTAACTGCACCATCAAGGTGAATGGAAATGCTGCCCCTTGGTTCCTCTTGCTCTCCTCCTTGACCCTGCAGGCTTTGCAAGTCCTAGACAGAGGCAGAAAAGTGCATCCTTTCGGGAATCAACATTCCAAATAAGTGGCGGTGCCTACACAAAATGACTTGAAGTTGTTAGAGAACAAATCAAAGTTTTCAACTAGTAATAAGTCATTCTTAGTGTTTATTTGGCAGTTGTATATGGCCAAGTAATGGTACCACTCCATCCAGCGGGACTTCCCTGAATGTTTGACTCCCAGGAGTTTCTAATTGGAAGTATGCTAAAGCACCGAAACAACTGCTTAACCAAGTGTGTGTGTGTTTTCGTTTTTCCTAATCAACTAATGATGACAAAACCAAACTACCCTTTATTAAGGGCACTACTCAGATCCAAGCCCTGAGCTTGGAACTTTAAAAATATCAAATCACTTAATCCTCAGAGCAAACGTATGAGAGAGGTATCTTTACTGCCTTTTACAGACATATAATTTAAGGTTTCAAGAGGTTCAGTAGGTAATCAAAAGTCTCACAATATTGGTAGTAGAGTCAAGAGTCAAATTTTCCTTCCTGAATTCAAAGCCTACACAGGATTATGTGACAGCTTCCTCCGCTTAACTTGGGAAGCCTCGTAAAAGAAGGCTGCCCTTAGAAAATGGTTTGGAATGGAAATAAAAGACAATGGCATGCAGCTGGACATCTGCCCAGATGGACTGGGCCAGGGCTATGGACAATCAAGAATTATACTCCTGACAGTTGGGAGAGGAAAATAAATGTATACATTTATGCAGATTATAGATTTATATTTAAATACAAAGAAAGGGTCAGTCTCCTTCAAAAGAGAGTTTCAAATGGAAACTATAGCAAGATACTGTATTCTACCTATTTGATAAGCAACACTCCAGTTTGATGTGGGAAAGCTGGAATTCTCATACACTACTAGTGGGAGGGTAAATTGATACACCACTTTGGAGAGAAATTTGACAGGACCTATCAATATTGCAGATTCACATACTCAGCATTTCTTCTCTGGGAATTCCACTGAACATGTACAGTTTGCAAACAGGCCAAAAGTTGCCTATAGAAGTTAGTCATTGCGGCATTGTTTTAACAGCAAAAGATGAAAAATAGAGTAGAATGCCATCAGTTGTGGACTAATTGATAAATCATAGTACATCCATATAGTGAAATATGATGCAGCTACCAAAAAGAATAGGAAAGCTTTTTATGTACTGTTAAGGAAATATCTCCAAGATACATTAAGGAAAAAAAAAAAAAAAAGGCCAGGCGCGGTGGCTCATGCCTGTAATCCCAGCACTTTGGGAGGTAGAGGCGGGTGGATCACCTGATTATCAGGCATTCGAGACCAGCCTGAACAACATGGTGAGATCCCGTCTCTACTAAAATACAAAAAACATTAGCCAGGTGTGGTGGTGCTTGTCTGTAATCCCAGCTACTCCAGAGGTTGAGGCAGGAGAATCGCTTGAACCTGGGAGGCTGAGGTTGCAGTGAGTCAAGATTGCGCTCCAGTCTGAGCAACAAGAGTCAAACTCCATCTCAAAATAAATAAATAAATAAATAAATAAATAAATAAATAAATAAATAAAAACCTACAGCGAATTGTGTATAGTATGCCCCATTTGTATATACAAATGAAGGGGATATGAAATCTGGTACCAGTGTTGCGTAACTTATTTTGGCGGTATGGGGAACTGAGTGAAGGGATGAGAGGCAGGAGAAAGACTATCCTATGCCTTTGTCCACTTAAAAATTATGTGAATTACCTATTTCATAAAGTAAGAAAAAGACTGGATTAAAATCTGGTGAATATCTGTGGTTAAAAGAAGGGAAAAAAAAGAGAATTTATGATCCTGAGTTGGCAAAAATCCTCCAAAGAGAGAATGCGCTACATGAACTTATTCAAGTGAGAAAAGTTTCAGTTAAGGATATAAATAAATAGAAGTAGTTCTTGTAATGCAGAGTAATTTGATATTTTGACACTTTGCACAAGTAGGAGTGAGGCTTTTCTATATTTTTACTCTCTAATGTGAAACTGGGTAGAGTTGACACAGCCACAAATTTATCAACGTAACTCATTTTTACGTGGTCACCTGTCATCCACCTTGACCTCTCCAGTATGACCCAGGACAGGTTATTAACCTCAGAGTCTTTTGTGATAAATCAAGGGAGTTGGTTTTCATCCGTAAGGTCTCTCTCAGCTTTAGCATACCAGCCAAAACTCCATGGCTATTAGGTGTGTACAAAATGGATATGCCTTACAATTAGAAAGATTTATGTTTTTTTTTGGGAAAGTCACATATGAAAATGCTTTAGTTAATCCTCCATGTGATCCTAACATTTTGGTCATTTGATTTGAAAGCTTCACCTGTGTTTAAAATGAATTAATTTAGTGTCGCTGTGTCAAGCACCAGTCTAGGTCCTGGGAATCCAGCAGTTAACAAGGTGCAGCATTGTCTTTGCCTTAAAGCACTGATGCAGTTTTGTGGGGAAGGCAGACATTGCACAAATTTTTCTTTTCACTTGAAGTAAGTACCAAGGTAACATGTAGGGGACTGTAGGAGCATTTAACAAATGTGAGCCCATCCTTGAGGCTCTCAGAGGAAACTTTTAATCTCATTTAAGCTATTTCTCCTGGAACATGTGTCTTAAGTAATGTCTTTCTGTTCTTGATTTATAAACTTTGGACAATATATATTGACTTCTGGTTATGGTAGATGAGCACTTAGCCATTTTATACCCTTCCACATCTCATTACTTATCCAGCCAAAATAATCATTATAATTGGAAGATTAAATAAACCTGTAGATTTCTATGACTATGTAGCTGTTGTTTTCTGCTAAGCCAAGTGCTGTACTATGGTTACTTTCTTTGTGTGATATTTTGGTTTTCATGGAGTAAATTACCTTGTTTTTCATTTTCTTATTGCTGCTACTTCTAGAATGCACAAACACTCTTATAAAACCACCACTTTCAGTGTTTTTTTGACATCATTAAATCACATCTACCAGTTTACCCCATGCCTTCCAAGACCTTTCTCTTGGTCTCTGGGTCTTCCTGTAATTTGTATCACCTAGTAGTTCCCAAGCTTCCTGCATTGATCTCTACTACTCAGCCCTATGTGAGAGCACCTATTTTTGGACCTCATGTATTCCTCTTTCTTGGTTAACTCCCCCTTTTGTGGGCATATATCTAACAAGAAAGGGTGCATCTTAGATAATTTTTTTTTTTTAGTCTTTGCCTTTTTCTACTCTAGTAAATCATAGTTTCGGTATAAATTTATAGACTCAAAATTACTTGCACGCAGATTTCTGAAGACATTTTTCTATTAGCCTTCTCTTTAATTCTGGATTGTTGGGAAATCTGAGGCTAGTATAATTTCTGGACCTATTTTTGTGATTCATTTTTTCTTTGCAAATTTTGAAATCTCTTTTCAATGTAGACTCCACAAATGCACAGTAATGAACCTTGCACAGTGCCTTTTTAATTTATTTTGCTGGACAGTTGGCAGGCTCTTTCTCTTGAGAGGCTTATATCTTTCGATTTAGAATGGAGAGTTTGGCTCAAGCTCCCCGTGTGTGGTCTGTGCTTTCTATACTTTTATTCTTGGTATTCCAGAGTCTGGAGGCTTCTCTTTTTAAAAATTGCTAGGCTTCTGCCAAATGTTATAATTTGGAGATGTGAGTTCACTAAGAAATCAAATGACAAGAGGAAGATTAATAGGAGAAATGACATAGAAATTTATTAGCATGCAGGGCGAAAAAAATCACAGAGTGACTACCAAATATCCCAGTAAGGTACAGATGCTTATATACCCCACCTCTTAGGAGAGAGGAAAGTGGATGATTTTAGGGGACTAGTAAATGATTTTTATGGGAACTCAGTGAGCTTGAAGAACATAACAAAGGCCTGGGACAAAATCTGTTGGGCCCACGGAACAGACAGTGGTTTATGACAAAAGTCTGTTGAGATATTATGACAGACTTCAGTCTTTCTTCTTGTGACGTGAGTTCAGTTAATGAAAACTAGGGAAGGGACTAGAGGTAATTGTTTTCTTCTTTGATGGGTCCAAACTTTAAGCAGATAAGAGAACTTCAGAGAACAGAACTTCATTCTGTGCTTTGGGAGAGACAGAGGAGCAAAGACAAAAGACAAAGGTGGAGTTCAGAGAGACCTTGAGGCTGCTCAGTTCAGCATGTCAAAGTGCCATATTTTGGGATATGGGATTCTGAGTTTTTATCTATTCTTTTTTGTAAAAGAATTATTGATACATAATTATTGTACTGTTTATGGAGTGAGTATATGTGATATTGTGTTACATTCATGCAATGTGTAATGATCAAATCAGGGTTTTTAGGATATCACTTCAGCTTAGCACTTCACTGTTAGTGCAGGAGGGAGATTAGCGTTAACAATAGTGTATTATAAAATAGCTAGAAGATAAGATTTGAAATGCTACCAACACAAAGAAATGATAAAAGTTTTATTTATTCTAAATTATATTTCTGCCTGTTTTTCTTTCCTTTGAAAATCTCATCTATCCTGAATGCTGTTATTCTTCATCTTTTTTTTTTTTTTTAACCTGGTAGCTTATTTCCTTTTATTAATTGCTTTACCATCATTTCCATGGGACAGAGTTAAACGTGTTCACCTATACTGTTTTGCCAGAAATAGCTAGAAAATCTTTGCAATTATCATTGTTGCCAAACTTTTTAATTCTTTGAGTATAAATTGAACTCCATAACCTAACCTCTCAATGATGGCTATGAGGAAATAATTGCTTGCTCATGGATAGGAAGAATCAATATCGTGAAAATGGCCATACTGACCAAAGTAATTTATAGATTCAATGCTATCCCCATCAAGCTACCACTGACTTTCTTCACAGAATTAGAAAAAACTACTTTAAATTTCACATAGAACCAAAAAAAAAGAGAGTGCATATAGCCAAGACAATCCTAAGCAAAAAGAACAAAGCTGGAGGCATCATGCTACCTGACTTCAAACTATATTACAAGGCTACAGTAACCAAAACAGCATGGTACTGGTACAAAAACAGATACATAGACCAATGGAACAGAACAGAGGCCTCATAAATAATGCCACACATCTATAACCGACTGATCGTTCTCAAACCTGACAAAAAACAAGCAATGGAGAAAGGATTCCCTATTTAATAAATGGTTTTGGGAAAACTGGCTAGCCATATGCAGAAAACTGAAACTGGATGCCTTCCTTACACTGTATACAAAAATTAACTCAAGATGGATTAAAGACTTAAATGTAAGACCTAAAACCATAAAAACCCTAGAAGAAAAGCTAAGCAATACCATTCAGGACATGGGCATGGACAAAGACTTCATGACTAAAACACCAAAAGCAATGGTAACAAAAGCCAAAATAGACAAATAGGATCTAATTAAACTAAAGAGCTTCTGCACAGCAAAAGAAACTATCATCAGAGTGAACAGGCAGCCTACAGAATGAGAGAAAATTTTTACAATCTATCCATCTGACAAAGGGCTAATATCCAGAATCTACAAAGAACTTAAACAAATTTACAAGAAAAAAACAACCCCATCAAAAAGTGGGCAAAGGATATTAAGAGACACTTCTCAAAAGAAGATATTTATGCAGCCAATGAACATATGAAAAAAAGCTCATCATCACTGGTCATTAGAGAAATGCAAATCAAAACCACAATGAGATACCTTCTCACATGTTATAATGGCGATCATTAAAACGTCAGGAAACAAAAGATACTGGAGAGGATGTGGAGAAATAGGAATGCTTTTACAATCTTGGTGGGAGTGTAAATTAGCTTAACCATTGTGGAAGACAGTGTGGTGATTCCTCAAGGACCTAGAACCAGAGATACCATTTGACCCAGCAATCCCATTACTGGGTATATACCCAAAAGATTATAAATCATACTACTATAAAGACACATGCACATGTATGTTTATTGCAGCACTGTACACAATAGCAAAGACTTGGAACCAATCCAAATGCCCATCAATGATAGACTAGATAAAGAAAATGTGGCACATATACACCATGGAATACTATGCAGCCATAAAAAAGATGAGTTTTTGTCCTTTGCAGGGACATGAATGAAGCTGGAAACCATCATTCTCAGCAAAATATCACAAGAACAGAAAACCAAACACCACATGTTCTTACTCATAAGTGGGAGTTGAACAATGAGAACACATGGATACAGGGAGGGGAACATCACACACCAGGGCCTATTGGTGGGTTGTCAGGAGGTGTCTAGGGGAGGGATAGCATTAGGAGAAATACCTAATGTAGATGATGGGTTGATGGGTGCAGCAAACCACCATGGCACGTGTATACCTATGTAACAAACCTGCAGGTTCCGGCCATGTATCCCAGAACTTAAAAGTATAATAATAAAATTGCTAAAAGATTACAAAACAGAGGTTTTCTGCTGTCATAGTCTGTGTTGTTACATAGCTGTGTGCTATAAAGGAATACCTGAGGCTGGGTAGTTCATAAAGAAAAGGGATTTATTTAGCTCACGATTCTGATGGCTGGAATGTTAAGACTGGGCATCTGCATCTGATGAGGGTGTCAAGCTGCTCCCAGTTGTGGTGGAAGATACAGGAATCACTTGGGAAGAAAGGAAACAAGGGGTCAGGAGGTGCCAGGTTCTTTTTAACAGCCAGTTTTCGTGGAACTAACAGAGTGAAAAATCACTCACCACCACTCCAGGGAGGGCATTAATCTATTCCTGAGGAATTCACCTCCATGACCCAAACACCTCCCGCTGGGCCCCACTGCCAACACTGGGGGTTGAATTTCAACGTGAGCTTTGGAGGGGACAAACATCCAAACCATAGCACTTGCATACTTCTAAAATCAGATATGCTTTTAAGTGCTGCTTTCAAGTAAGGTGTTGGCACAAAAATATAACCCATTGTAATAGGCAGAATTCCAAGATGGACCCTAGCATAGTTACAGAAAACAGTTAAGGAAAAATATTTTATATGTTATTTATGACAAACAGTACAAATGGCAGTGTCAGAAGTGAAGTGAAAATGGTATTTGGGTGGTCTCACCAATATTTGTTTTATGTAATTTTTAGAAGATATGCTAGAAATTTTTATCTTTCATATTAAAATTTATACAAAGGTGGTTGCTACCTCAGTGGCAGATCATAAATTTCTTGTAACTACCATGCTTCTTATGACAAAGAATGAAGTATTTTGAATTTGATGTTTTAATAACTGGGGACAGATTAGGTGAGATGTAAAGTCTCTTGCCTTTTATTGTCTTGTCAAAGCACAAAGGCTCTTTCACAGGCTGGAAGGATGGCATTGTGCTTTTTATCAGTAAGAGCTGAAAATGTGAACCGTAATAATGGTGTTTCATTGTTCTAAGTAGGCAAATAAATTTTTGGCCATGTTGCATATATTATGATACAAAGGAATTAACATTAGGTAATATTTGCAGTATTTGTATTTTGTTATTTAATTGCTTGCATTTTTTGCACTGACTTGTTTTTGCTTTCTTTTTCATCAGCTATGCTACTTTTTTTTTCTCTTTTTGATAGTAATATTTGCTTTTACAAAACAGGTATAAAATTATAAGAGGACCAAAAAGCAAAAGCACACTCATAACCCTACCCACTCAGAAACATATATCGTTCTTTCAAATGATTCCCTATGGGTTTGTCTAAATACGTCTTCATGTCTAAATATTTTTATAAAAGTAAAAGTTCTTCTTCAAGAGTTTGGAACTTGAATTTTTTTCACTTAACAATAGTGCTGTAACATTTCTGACAATAATACATTTATTTATATGTTGTAAAAATAATTTAAAATTGAATTATTAGAACAACTTAGTTGTGTCATCACTTTTCAGAATCTTGTTTGCATATCTAAATGTGTCTCTACTTACATAGGGTTGTATTCTAATGGGGAGGGAAGAAAATATCTAGATTAATATATAATATGCTTTGAAGTAAAAATAAAATGGGGAGGGATAGGGGCATAATGACAGTGGTGAGTCCAGGTAGGGTGGTCATGAAAGCTGTCTGTATTGGGTAGCATTTAAGCAAAGACCCCGGTGATATCCGGGAGTGGGGCATGAACAAGTCTGAGGAAAGAACTTTCTGGGCAGAAGGAACATTCAGTTAGAAGGTCCTGGGGCACAATCATGTGGCACAGATGCCAGTGTGGACAGAGACACAGAATTAGAGGAGGAGTGGGTGTTAGCGACATGGGGAAGAGAGCCAGGGGCCAATGAGGTAGGACTTGTTAGTTCATAGTAAGGAGTTGAAATGATGAGTTTACTTTTGGAAAGTATCACTGGGCATGTGTTTATATGTGTTTGTAAATGTGTTTTTATATTCACATATATATTATCTGTTTATCTGTGTCTGGAAGAATTTACAGAGGAGGAAGGATTTCAGTTGGAGGGGAGGTCAGCCCAGGTCAGATTCTGGGGAGCTTTGCGAGGGCACAATCTCGGGTCTCCAGTTCCCTGTCCTCAGAACAGTTTGTTGAAAGATATGTGAATGAATGCTCCATTTTAGAAAGCAGCTAAAATACTGTTGTGAGTTCACATCACAGCAAGAGATTCAGGGTATTGAATCTTGCGGGGGTGAGTCAAACATTCAGAATCTGAAGGTTATGAGGTGGATGGAGAACTTGGGGAGAATGGAGCAATCACTCACAACACATGTATGGTAGACAGCTCAGGCACATCTCAGACGTACTGAGATTCTCACTCTGCAGCCTGTGATTTAACTGTAATTATGGGTCTTATTTTGGGTGCGTGAGTTGGGGGACAGGAAATAAGGCAGCCTCAAGGTAGATACATAAATTATAGGAGAGGACTGACATTATAGAGAAAAGGAGTGTCAGAAGTCGCAGATTGTGAAGCAACAGAGCCTCATAATCATGCCTACCTTTCCTCTCTCCTCCTGATTTTTCTCTAGAATTTTGAAATCATGCAACTGCCAGATGTTTGGGCTAAAATATATGCTGTTTGAGTGCCTTAAAATTGCAGCTTTTAGTTACCTTTTAATTTGAAGCCCAGAAATAGTGCCATAACCACCTGTTTTATATTCTGTTAATAGCCATTAAAAAAATACAAGTACCACTCTACTGCTGGCAGACACCATTTGTGAATGGACAGTTTTCCAGATGGTGGTTTGCAAATCATTGGTGTGGAACTCTATCTTTCTTCCCATATCATTGGACCTGCTGGATGGTGCTCCAGGCCGGTGCACAAAAGTCAATTTAATCCATAATGCATCTGCAGTATAGCTTTGAACAAAGAAAATTATAGAACTTGTCACGTGAGGCTATATTTCTAAGAAAAATATCCCAAGGGTAATGTAGATCCCATGGCTTGAGCAGACCCTTTGGGAGGGTGTGAGGATGAAGTCCTTGCTGTATTTAAGGACCCAAAAGAGGGCCAAGAGGTGGAATCTGAGGGAATAGAGGGCAGGCCCAGAGCGAGCCTCAGTCATTTTGAAATAAGGAACGGTAGACATTTCTGCCTCTTTGTTATGGTGCCCTCATGCTAGTTTTGATCTCAGTTGGTTTCTTGGCCGTAGTCTTTCTCATCTTTTACCAGAAAAGCCTCAAGTTTAGTCTGCCTGTTTTTTTCTCACCCATTCTTCTGTTGTAGAACATAGCAATGTGGGATTTTAGATCTGACAGAGATCTCATATCAGCTGGTCTGAACCTTTTTAATTTACATGGTTGTAAAATCAGATCCAAAAACGTTCATTTTGACAAGTGCATTTTGTCCTCAAGGTGCTGTCTCTGAAACAGACAAAAGTTCATTCTGAGTTGTTGCAAAGCATTTTACTACTTATGACAGAGGGAGAGGGAGTGGATGGGTAAAGATCTCGTCTTGTTCTGCATTATTTTTCATTTAGTCCAAGGGAAAGTCTCACCTGGAAGACTGGGGTATTATTTGATCACATTTTAAGGGAAGGATAGGTTCTGGCTACTTTTAGGACTTCATCACAGGAATTGGGTCAGGTGGGCTGTGTGGTGAGGAGGGACATACCAGGAAGGAAAGGCCTAATGAAGCTGAGGTAGAAGGAGAGGTGCTGCTGAGTGGACCAGGCTTTTGGAACCAGCAGTTTTACGGTAGTGGGGGAAGATAAAATGATGGGGAGATTTGCCCTCATTCTTTTTCCCTGTTCTCAACAGTATTGCTGATTCTTCTACTGTATACCACACCTCATGTAGTAGAAGTCAAAATCTCAAGTGGGAGGATACTTTCAGGCAGCATCAGTTTTGAGTGGAGTTGGAAACAAAGGAGAGAAGGTAAATCGGCCCTGGAAGTGGAGAAATGTCCCTGTGGACAGAGGGTTGGGGTGTGCCGTTTAGATGTAAGAGCATTCCCAAATTAGGGACTACCTTATGTTAAGTGACCTCATATTTGGGGGTGCTCTGAATTGCTGCCAGTGATGGCATTAGCACCAACGATCTCTTCCTCTCTCAAAAGGGCAAGAATTCGTAGACTCTGGCATCCATAGAGAAGTAGACAAGCCTCCAGAAGACGCTTGTGGAAGCTGTATTCAGGTCTTTACCGTTTCCAGATTTTCCTGATGCAGTCACGGTTATGTGTGAGAGAAAGGCATAGGAGGAGGAGGTGCCCAACAGGTGCTTACAGGAGGGGAGGAAAGCTTTACTCTCCCTTACACCCTCCACTGAGTGTACCCTTTGTTTCTGTGCGTCTGTCCTGTGGCCATCCAAGAAGGTGTTTTCTTACCTCATGAGAAATTGACTCTGAGAGAGGCCCGGAAGCTTCCCTTGTGCTCCAGTCTGTGGTATGGACTGAACGAGGGGAATTTTTTCCTTCCAGGTCCCACCCTATACTTTCAGTGCTATATGTGCTCATTAGGGCAACACTGCTTTTCTGGATGGAGGAGCTTTGCTGAACAGCAGTGTTGGAAAATGGGTAGTGTTTTCTAAATAATTGTTACCTAATCTTTAGCCACACTTAACATATTTAAATAGTAAGTGGAGATCCTCCTGGTCAGATTTTTCTCTTCCCTCTACATCTATCAGTTGTTGATGTCAGCTAAAGATAGAGAGGCTCTCAGACCATTGTTTATCAAGAATGGGGTCAGAGGGCCACCCGCCTTAGAACAACCTGGGGTAAAGGGTGATGTGTAGCTCAAAATGGAGATTCCTGGACCCCGTTCCAACTGGATTCCTTGACAATCAGGCCCAGAAATCTGTTTGAGAAACATAGATACCCCAGGTGATTCCGATGAATATAGACATGAGTTCTGAAAGAATGAGGGCAAGGACCTGTCTGGTTTGTACATTGTGCAACCCCCAGCACCAAGAACGGTGCCTGACACATACATGTGTGCACTAGTAGTTTGTTGAGTGGGTGAGTTCTTCCGCCCAGTTTTCCGCTGCTTTTCTGCTATTGGTTAGGGAATCTTGTTATAATTTAATTTTAAGAAAATAATATATCTTCAGTGACAGGTTAGGAGTTCTCCTTTATGTAAATTATTTGAAATTTAGAAGGTTAAAGTGATCCTTTTTTTGCATTGCTGATGAAAAATATTTTATGTCTGGCACAGAGTCACATAAAGGCTAAATAACTATATGTTGAATTCATTTTCAGGCATGGTCCAAATAAAGTTACTTGAAAGATGAGGGGCTTTTATGTTACATTGACCTTCATATTTGAGCTATTTTGAAAGATTAATTCTTAAAGTTCTGTTAGCTAAGATGAGGCTATTTAGAAATGTTAGGTGGTTTTATTTGTGCCTACGTGTGATTTTGAATTCTGCTTTTCACCC